TAGATCCTTGAACTGACCAAGTATTGATCAATTAACTGTGAACAGCAAAGTGATAGTGTGGCTGTTATAAGTGTAACATTATAATTAATGATTAAGATATAATAAAAATACGGCGCTTCCGCTTTCGAGAAACTTAGAGCGTTTTCTCATTGTGCTCAGTCGCCTCAATTATCTGCTCCTATTACTTCCCGTGGTGGATTTGGTCGAAAGAATTTACAACTTATAAGATGGGCAAGAGCGAATCCAAGTTACCTGCAGTTAGTTCGTGTATGACAGCCGACGGTTTGAAAATGAAAACCATCTTACTCGCAAAAAACTTGCGTCCATCTAAATTCAAAGATAGCAAGCTTGAAGCACAGCCGGCGAATGAATTGATCAAGCGTAACACAGATTCCCCTGCCGAAGATATGCCGGGTTTCTGCTTTGGGTTCAACGGAGAACATTTATTCGCTCGGTGATTGCGGATTGTTTGCAGCCATTATCACAGCCTAAAACAACCACTGGAAACTACGAACCTCTCCAGATGACTGGTGGTTCTGTGTTATCAAACGAGTTGCATGTGCCATCGACAAAAACGCCGAAAAAGAGTCCGTTCGCAAGATGTTCGTTAATCACGAAGGAAAGAAAACCATCGAAGTAGAAGTGCCCGATATAAACATCCATACTGTGGACTACAGCTGGTTCTTCGATCAAATAGCGAAGGGAGTACAAGAGAATGTGAAAGTACCTGAGTTCGTGGATGGAATGACGGCAGACTTCAGCACCACAACTGCAGTGCAAAAGATCGTTTCACAGATTACATTGATGTATTCAGTTCAAAAGTATTTCCAGTATAAAATGTTGTCTCGTTGTGGAATCCCTGCAGTAGAGATGCTAGGCACTGAAGAAGACTGGAGCAATCTACAATCCAAACTGAAGGTACTGCGGACACTGCTTGAACCCATCGAGAACGATCTTGGTTTGTCGTCAGAGTGGTGGGATCTTGTGGAAAAAGTGTTCCGCGAATTACTGTCTACTTACCAAGGAAGACCGGATAAAGAATGGTGGAGTCATATTATCAGCTACCAAAACAGGTTTGGGTCAGGTGAACGTGGTTTCAGGGGCTGGATTACCGACTTTCTGGAGGGGACCAAACGCCTCATTGATATTGATGAGATGACAAGCGGCCTGGTTAGCGTTCCACTCATCCTCGAAGACCCTGTCCGCCGTGTAAAAGACAACGCCACACTTGTAGCAGGAATGGTTGGCTTCACTCTCCACAGTAATGAAACCAAAGAGTTGTGTGTGCAGCCATTCCAAGGCTGGTCTCTTCTGCTCTCTAAAGACTCGCCATTTCGCTAGTAAGCTACATAAGACTTCCCAAACGGCGTAATCTAAAGAGTCAAAACAGAAAGTTTAATAATTGAAAGTTTTGTTAAATTAAAATTAACGGATGCGGCAAAATAGTGACTGTAATAATAAGCAAAAGAAAGAAAACTTCAATAGTAAGACACTTTGAATTCAAACATACAATGAAACGGCGGCCATGTTGGTGTCCCAGGCCAATCCTGTGGGAGTTGAACTCTTTTCTTATGTGAACACTTTCTTTGTTATAATCAAATTTGAATGACTGCTGGCCACGTAAGAGAAAACGCTCTATGGTGCCAAGACGAATTGCGCGTTTTCACCTGACGTTACGGCAACCATATTGGTGTTCCAAAACAATGGGACGGTGGCCATGTTGGTCTACCAAACCAAACTTTTGATAGTCTAGTCGAGCTCTTTTCTATCTAAAAACCTACTTTTGTTCCAATAAATTTGCTTGATTAATGGCCAGGTGAATGCAAACGTCCCATCGTTGAACTGCGTGTGGTTTTTCTAAAGGTACATTGTTCACGTATGCGCACGAGACTGCCAAGGCACAATTGCTTTCTATTACACGACCTAATTCCTCCACTGTTATTATTTTTATTATTTAGATGATTAATATCAATCGTCCAGTAAAACACTTATCGACTAATGTCTCATATCCTCCAAATTTGCTCTGCGCTACCTCGATCGTTAAGAAAAAATAACTGTGTCATTTGGTCATTTCGCAAGTAAGCTACATAAGTCTTCACAAACGGTGTAATCTAAAGAACCAAAAAAAGTAGTTTCATAGTTGAAAGTGTTGTTAAATCAAATTGTACAAATGCAGCCGAACAGTGACTGTAATAATAGGCCATAGAAAAGCGCACTTTCGTAAACAGACACTTTCAACTCAAACAATCTAGGGGGGCGGGGGGGGGGTGTATTTTTTTTTAGCAGTATTTGACTCTGTAGTTGAAATGTTCGATCCCCAGAACCAGTCACTTTTATTAGCTTAATCATAACCCGAAACTGGGCGTATTGTTCGTGGGATGTGTTGCTGGTTGGNCAGGGGAATGTAAACGTCCCATTGTTGAACTGCGTGTGGTTCTTCTAAAGGTACATTGTTCACGTATGCGCACTAGACTGCCGAGGCACATTTGCTTTCTATTGCACGACCTAATTCCTCCACTATTATTATTTTTATTATTAGATTAATGTCATCGTCCAGTAGTAAAACACTAATCGACTTATGTCTCATATCCTCCAAATTTGCTCTGCGTTGCCTCGATCGTTAAGAAAAAATAACTGTGTCATTTGGTCATTTCGCAAGTAAGCTACATAAGACTTCACAAACGGTGTAATCTAAAGAACCCAAAAAAGTAGTTTCATAGATGGAAGTGTTGTTAAATCAAATTGTACAAATGCAGCCGCACAGTGACTGTAATAATAGGCCAAAGAAAAGCGCACTTTCATAAATAGACACTTTGAACTCAAACAATCTAGGGGGGGGGGGTATTTTTTTTTTTAGCAATATTTGACTCTGTAGTTGAAATGTTCGATCCCCAGAACCAGTCACTTTTATTAACTTAATCATAACCCGAAACTGGGCGTATTGTTCGTGGGATGTGTTGCTGGTTGGTTAAAAGGGTGGCTGGCGGGGACATTTACCTGGAATTCACTGAGATGTAGGAGTTCCAAATTGTCACAATTTTGCTGGTAAATTTGTCATGCATCGCGGAGAAATATTTTAATTAAGGACGGTGCCTACTAAATACAAAGGTTTTTGCGCCAGGTTAGGAGCACGTGGAAAAAGTAGATCTTTGCAAAGGCTATTGAAATCCACAAGGAAAGATTGGGGTAGCGACACATTTTATCGAGATAATTAGCCTTAAATCTCAACAAAAATGTTGACATAGCATTTCTCTGGAAAAAAGAAGGAAGGAATATTTCTTCACAGACTTCATTAGAATTCGCCTTTACACACAGAAAAGCAAACACATTTATAAAGATCTTGAAACTGCATGGTAAATGGTAACTGGTAAATTGCTCATCCCGATTTTGGAGTTCTCTGTTGTCCTTACCCCTTTTAAGCAGCCATCAAAAATTTAAAAAAAATCTTAGATTTATTTTCTTTTGGAAAAGACGATGACAGATAAGAGTCCTAACTGAAATAGAATTTGACTACTGATGAGAACAATCTAACGCACGTTTATTATGATTGTCTAGACGTGATTCCATGTTCACTAAGCAATTAACCCAATCTGAAAAATATTCAAAGTACACGAACCTCTATCAAGGAACCACCTCCATTAAGCGACCACCTCCCATTTCCTCAAGGGGGTTTGACTGTATACCTAATATCTCTCCCTGCCATAAGGCACTTAAGGCTTGGACATTCTCTCTCCTTCCATTCACTTCGATTTGTTGACAGAATTCTAGAAGGGATTGGAACGGCTTAGGGAGAAGGGAGAACGAGGTTAAACCATTTCTACGTTTCTTAGTGGTCGATAACATTTAATTGCCAATACCAAATAGTTGTCGACATCACAATTTCTAGTCTGTAAAGGGCCCTTAGCTATCTTTAATTCAGTTGTTTTCACACCCTCAGTGCGACGTCATGCAATACAAAGCAACTATGTCACACAACACTGCTCAAGAGCATTCACTTTATTGAGGAATAGAGGAAATGGACCTCACTGTTTGCTTGAAATCGTTTATTCTTGTTTGGATATGATTCATTCCCTAAGATTATGGATGTAATGTAAACTACATATATAAAAAAAGTTATAGTGTTGTTGAACACAAAAATAATTCCCTCAAAGTACTGTGGAACGTACGTAACCAAAAGTTGATTTGTTATGAAAAGTGACTAAAACGTTACGCACTTGATCAAACAAGTAAGGGATATCATCACCGCAGGGAAAGTTGTCTCGATTACTTTATTAATTCTTCTAACTAGTACTGTACGAAATGTATGGAGACAAGAAAGGAGAACTTGTAATGTAACATTAAAACCAACACCATTGAGACCCATAAGTCTCATTTGTGCTTGGAGATCAAATTATAGTGCAATCTTTGGCTACATCAGGGGTCTTTCATATCCTAATTAGCATGCCAATTGTGTTGTTCCAAAAATTATCCATACCCCTGCCATGAAGGGTACGTTTAGTTTGACCAACCTCCCTCACCCCCAACCCCACCCCCCAGGCACAGATCTAGGTGGAGAGTGCAGGGGGTGCACTCCCCTACCTGAGATAAGAGTCAGTTCCGCCAGCCTTAGTGGTGCACCCCCTCTTAAGAATGATCCTGGATCCGCTCCTGCCCCCAGTCTCTCTGGAAATTCCCGTTCCTTTAAAATTTTGGTTGTTAGCCCCCCACCTCTCCCTTGCAATTTCCAATAACCCTCCTTGGGGTGGGTAGGAATAGTCTCTGGAACAACAAATTATGGATGCATTATGCCAAAACAAGCATTCCAATCATTCCCTTGCAAATCTGGAATTTCATCATTAAATTCATATTTTCATTCTTAGTCATGCTAGCTTGTTGTGCATACTTGAAAGTAAAAGGCAACATTTCAAAATTAAGACGCAAATTATAATGTCAACAAAGACTGCCCAATAAGTGACACAGCTTTCCCAGGCCCTCAGGTGTGCAGGTGAACTAAAACAACTCTGGATAAACATGCTGTTGGGATCATAATTCAAAATTCCCCCAACAAGTGCAATGTAACTATATGGAGACCGAGGGGGCAGGGGGGGGGAAGCACTCAATTACAACATGTAAACTACAACAGCTCATACATTTGGTTAACTACATAGGAAAATAAATCAAAAATAACATTCTCATGGACTGGAAACAATAAAGAACTCTATAATTATTGATCCTACATAACAATCACATCGAAACAAACTGAACAGGACAACAACACACTAATGATTGTCACACTTAAGAAAATGTCAGACAGAGGCTGAAGCTTAGGCAAATTTATAGTCCCTCATTATGACGAATAACTCACAGTGGAGAGCTAGGTTGGGAGTGGCTTCTGGTGTGAAAACAGAACATTGAGGAGCTGAAACTGCACCTGAATCTGTCCTCTCCTAAACCACTTACATTCTTTTTAACCATTAGATGTTACTACATACAGTGTATAAGACAAAAAGTGCAAGCCTTTCTGACAAATACTAAGTAAGTAAAAATAGAAACTATTTATGGGTTCAAAATCTCCATCTGCCTTAACCAACACTAACATAGTCCAATAGTGGCATTCCATGCAAATAAGAAACTCTCTTACTCTCACAGCCCAAGTGTCATATTGTTACTACATTTTGCTATCTCAAGGCAATGTATCACTCTGTAAACCTCCCTCTTACCAATGCTGCCACATTTGTATGAGTTTTTTTGGTAAGTAATAATGAATATTACAAACCCAGTAAATCTTGAACATTTACAAGAGGCAACAGTTGCTGAGAAAACTTTTGTCAATGACTATATTCATCTAACTTGCCCATTTAACAACAGCCACCCCCACCCAGTCCTATTTCAAGTACAGTCTTATCAGTTATTGTACAAAGTTTTATTTGTCACTCAACTGTTACTTTCATAATATTGTTTTGTTATGTTATAAACCTTCAGTTACATGTAACTTATAATCCAACGCAAGTCTTACAGCTTCTGGAAAGTTTGGCCCTTAGGTTTTTAAGCTGTGACTAGTTACTTGAACTGGGCAACTTGAAAGACAACAACAACAACAAAAAAACAGAAATAACAGAGATGGCAGTCTTATTCATAAACAGACCTATGCTGAGAAAACATCCAAACAATATGCTTTGTAAAAAAAAAAAAAATACAATTTGAAACCAAGTGAAGGAAATTACAGGTCTGTTTTACTCAAATTCACTGAATACTTTACAGATCCATCTTTGGCAGGAAATAACCAGACCTAATTGAGATTATTACAACATTAACTTCTTTAACTGCTTGAAGTTTAGGATTGAAATCCACCACTCAAAACCTAAAAAAGGTACGAAGTTTCTTGAATACACCTTATTCCAAAATGGCAGCCAATTTATTATTCTTTTGTTTTCATGTTAATTAGCCCTCTTTGCCTCATCAACACGTACAAAATACAAAAAAACTTTGAAGTGAAAACGAGGCAAAAGGGCTAATTAGAATGCAAACAAAAGAACAATAAATTGGTCGCCATTTTGTAATGAGGTGTATGAGAAGTCTGTAACATACTTTATTATGATTTGCTTATGTTGCTCACTTAATTAACAAATAACATTGATTTATAGTCTGCATGCTTCAACCCTGGTTATTGGTCCATGTGTAAAAAATTTTGCCATCCTTCATTCTCTCAATAAATGACACTGTTACCACCAGAGGTTGTTGTTGTGTGACGTTCGTTTATCTTTACTCCAGCTGCATTTGTCATGGTGTGCACCGCACACATGAATACTGATATAGCTAGGAAATTAAACCACTTCAAGAAATCAATTTGTGAGTACATTTGTAAGCATTGAACCATTTACCCGACAACACTGTGGTTAATTTTATTTGAAGCAGCCCAGTTCAAGTAGTTCCAGTCTATTTTATCTCCTCCTGTTCTAGTAATCTCACGCTCAAAACATTTTAACCATGTTTTAACTAAACAGCTTTTAAACACGTCTATGCTTTCATGTGAATATAAAGCTAAGAAATTTTTTTTTTATAAGTAGATCTTGCGTGACTGAGTTCTTCAGGTACAACAGACTAGCCTTTAATTTAAATTTAAAAACTTCCTATTACAAGATCAGTTGTATCTGTAGGATCTGTTCACATGACAGCAAACAAATCTGTTGAAAATACTGGGGTCCATGAAACAATAAGATCATGTAAAATGAACATTGGAAGGCCTGAAGATGCATGTCCAAGTGAACTTCTCTGCTCATGAATTTCAAGTGTTAGTGGAATTATTATTCATCCTCTTTTCACATTACTTGTGATCTAAATGCATAAAAAAGTCCAATGCCTCACACTTGAAAATAATATTAAAAAAATAATAATAATAACACAAAGTACATCAAAAGAAATCCCAGCTCGCATTAACCTGTACAAAGATATTTTGCTTTCACTCCCGATGGTCTACATTTATAATCTAAGTGTTAATCACCTTGTCGCATTAACATACATGTTAATTATTTACCAAGTGTTTAATGAGGCACCATTGCTTTTATTGTCCTTCATTACAGGCACTTCCCAAGGAAATTATGTCAGATAATTATTTCTATGATGAAGCATAAATTTTCTACTTGATATTAAGTCAACTGTCTGGAGTTTGCTCACAGTTTTGTCCTTGACATTTTTTACGATGTCACAATGAGGAATAAAAATCTTATTTCATTCCATTAATCACAGGTTCACCCTTGATTTAATTACATCTTAAGAGGACTGTCTCCAGAATCATTCACCGAAGTCGTGAGATTTCTTGTCTCACAGCTGCAAGAAAAGTGATAAAAGTGCTCCGTAAGAATTGCAAAAATCATTTTGATATGGTATGGAACACCAAACAAAATTAGCTTTCTCAATTTTCAGTTCTCTTTAATGGACCCTAGTCAGTCTCCACCATTTTCAATGTCATTGAAATTATTGATTTGCATGGTGAGGTGAAATCTTATTGCTCTAGTCTACTATAAGTCGTGTTCCCGAAAGTTTTTAATTATCTTGAGTAGTTTCACAGTGATATCTTTCATTTCGACATGCTCCGAATAAAATATAATAGCCAAACTCTCGTATGTAAACTAAAACAAAGGTGTGGCTGACTAGGGCCTTCTAAGACATTTAATGTAAAATTGCATGGAGACATGTCTGTTGTCTTGAAAAGGATTTAGGTACAAATCTCTTGTCAGTTTTTTTCTATGCAGACGTACCTTCAATTATTTCTCTTTTTGCAGCATCCAATTCTTGTCTAAATTCAGCAAGCAATTCCTGGAAAAGAAAACAGGCCA